TTCATGGTANCTCCGGCACAGTATTTGCGTCGACGCAACGCACACGGGTGCGGAAGATCATACGAAATGTTCGAGGGCCACAATTACCGTAACAACACGCCACGCGCACTGATTGGTTACAATGGACAATTTGGATTTCGGAGAAACACGCCATTTTTACGGAAGAACCCATCAAGTTTTGGTATTGTGACTGATTTGCCACTACATTGATTTGTACAATAATACCAAAGAGTCAGCGAATTCGTGCTGACAGATGCTAGTATGGCAATCGTGCTGATAAAGAATTTAGCGCTATACGGCCTTCTCCATTAAACTACAATTTGAGATCCAACTTGTAAACTGCACTCCCCTTCCCGCGGCACGCGTTTGTTGGACTAGCGAAGCTAAATGATGATGCCGTATATCATATAATATTCGCGAGTTGATGAAAACGATGAGACCATACGAAACTGATGAGTGAAAAAGTGTGGTATCTTGATATGAAATGTGAAACTGACAAAGCGCCAACTAGGAGTCAAGTATAACAATGGAGATTGACCAATAAAAGGGGAATATGAGAAACTCATCAAATTGTAGTGAGATTTTGAATCAGGTCGCAACAATTAGTGTCCCGACGACATCTTCCCCCATCGGATCACCCGTGACTAGTTGACTTTGTTATAGTCTTCGCGAAGACTGATCGACCCAGCACTTTAAATGCACATACCTTGTGTATACTTTGGCAGAATTACAATCAGTCCATTTTAATTCAGTAACTTGTCAATCGCGGTATACAGACCGACCAAATACCAATTCCTAAACAACTCCGAAAAGGATATGTTTATCACGGAATTAATGAGCTTTGGTGAGAATCCAGACCACTGTCGCCCTCCTCTTTAGCTACAAGTGAGAACACGAATCGAGCATACTCGTCAAAGCCTAGTGTCGACGAAGATAAATAACATACGGGAACAAACGGCATTCTGGTTATTCGAGAACGAGATAATCATAAGCCAAATTCGATGCACATGCAGCTTGATGATCGGTATGACATGTGCACGACAGACTCTGTGATTATTAGATCTATACGGGATTATCACACTGTGTGGTAGACAAGCAAGTTGTCCGCTCTGAATTCGGTAGTGGGCTAATCGTTTAGATGTAGTGTGTTGCCAAGTTTTTACCCAATGTTCAATTAATAACCTCAGCAAAGATAGCGATCGACCTATGACTAAGGTTCAATCAAAACAAAAAAGCAATTCTACCAGATCGTATTAATATCAAATCGCAACTTTTCGTATTCACACTAATTAGTTTTTCATGCAGTTTCGTTTTTTCTTCTCGCCTCGTGCTATTTACGGTAAGACATTCAAGTTCACCTGCGTCCACCGAGGATTTCGACTAAGTCGCGGTTGCGCTGTCTTTGCACCAAGTCCTCGAAATACGTCAAACACGTCGTCGACCAACAATCGCAGTGCTGCTTGACCGAAAAGTCTTTGACTCAGTTGACTGTGAAGCTCTTCTGGGGTCACGGCTTCGCAAAGGAATGCCGCAGAATCATGTAAACCTATCGTGGCTGCTGTACCTGCATACTTCGGGTGGCATAAAGGTCCATGGTGGGTTAAGCTAATCGTTCAAATCAGGGGTTCCCTATTTCGATTTTCTTATTCAATTTCGTCGTAGACGAAATACTGGAGAATGCACTTAGTAGTCTCCAAAATGTCGGTATTGAATGGACAGCTGGAGAAGGGCTATACGATTGAAAGTACGCTGACGAAATCCCTTGTCCGTTCGAATGTGCAAAGCACTCTTGACAGTCTAGCAAGTTCTGTAACCACTTGGTATGCGTTTTGCACTTTTAAAATGCAAAGTGATGCTACAAGATTGAGTATCGTCTACCCCGGCGCTGATGCTTGATAGTAAATAATTAGCTATAGTGGAATGTTTCTCCTACTTAGATAGCTGCGTGACTAATGACGGTAGCATAATCAATGAAGTAACCGCCCGCATCTCCAAGGCTCGAGCAGCCTACGCAGAACTGAAACACTGTTGATGCAGACGTGATGTTTTCTTGAAACTGAAAGGTCATGTATACTGCTCCAGTGTCCGATCAGTTCTGCCTTATAGTTGAGGGACCCTAAAATTGAGCGTGAAAGATATGCGTCGTCTAGAAGTATTCGACTGCCGATGCATACGTAGGTTGGCTCCGGTTGACTAGAGCGAGCGTGTAAGCAACTATTAGGAAAGGCGTCGCATACTTGGCAATGATTCAGACGAAAATTCGTTATCACATACAACGCTGATGAGTACGCTTCGCTGATTAGGACATGTATTGCGCATGCATGCCCAGCCATCATCTAGGGCACCGCACGT